AAAAAAAAAAAAAAAGAAAAGAAAAACAGCGGAGGTCGGCTGCTTTCTAACTCATCACCCGGTTGTTGAATTATATAGACTCAAAAACAACATTTGGTAACATTGTAGGTTTTATTATTACTGTATTTTATGTGCAAAAGTCTTAGGCGCATATAATAAAATGAAACATTTCTAAATATTCGAATGTTTACTATAAAGACCAATAAACATTAAAAAATAAACCTAAATCAAATCAAATTTTGATGTGACCACCGTTTACCTTTAAAGACAGCATGCTACAGGAATTCGAACACATTGTTCTTCCACAATCTGACATGTTTCTTGATTGAAACTACATATTTGGGTTGGCGGGACTTCGGTTTTATCCACCTGCATGTGTTTGCTGGTTGATTATTCATTTTAGATCTGTCCCATAATTCTGCAGAGACATAGCCAAAAGTCAGAAAGATTAAAAGCAAGATTAAAGCAAAAATAATTTCGTCTTTTAAGTGATTAGAACAGATAAATCACATACAATGTGCCCAAAAAAAGTCAGATTTGATTTCAGGTTGAGTTTAAAACTTCAGGTTGTAGCAACAGACAAGCGTTTGCCCTGTTGACCGGACACTGAGCGTTCAAATCCCAGTGATTCCAAAGCCTTCCATGGCCAGGAGTCCAAGAAAGCAAAATTAGCCACGATCTCTGGGAGAGAGTAGCATACTCTCTGTCTCCCCTGTCAATCACAGCGACACTAGCCAATCACAGGTGTCTGTTAGTTCATGTATGTGGAAGAGGGCTGATAGAGCTTTTCTCTGAGAGTGTTACGCTGCACTGTAACACAGTATGAGCAGCACTGTGGAAAGAATCACCCTCCCCAGTTGCTAGCTGTCATATGATAGGGGAGAGCTGGCACATGGGTGGGTGGGAATTGGTCAAGACTAATTTAGGGAATTGGTGTAAAAATGGGTGAAAAGTTTCTTAAGGTTCTTTAGATTGCCTTTAGAAAATGCTATTTTGCCAGAAACTTATATATATATATATATAACTGTTTTGTTACCTTGGAGTACATAAAGTACAGTGCAAAAAACTCAGACATGCTGAATATATAAAATTTGTCTTAGTTCTCACTCTCAGGTACATGGTCATCCAGTGTTTCCAAGCATGTTGGAGACGTTTCCACACTTCTCCTACAAAAATGGATTTACTGGGTTCTGAAAAGTGGTCTGCTACGTGATATCTTACTTTCTTTAACAACATGCAAAATAATCTGCAGAAATGCACCAATGCAGAAAACACTTTTATTTGACCACTTTAGGTTTTTTTTTTGTTTGTTGCACAGTAATATATATACTCCCAGAAAACAATACAGTTTGGAGGAAAAATAAAGCAGCTTCTGGCAAAAGAACGATTTTACTGAGAAAGCTAAATTAATAATGTTATGCTTCAGAGCGAGTGCCAACTCCTCTAACAGCTTGCTTGTAAAAAAAAGGATGTTGAGTTAATCTTACTTATTTTTTTGGCAGTCAGCCTTCGTTTATTTATTATTACCTCCATCACTAACACTGTCCTACTTTCTCTCTCCCTCACCTTCATGTTTCCTCATTGCACTTTCTGATACGTAAGTCCTCTTAATTTTGAGAGTACCACATGTACATTCATTTAAACAGTTACAATCCTGCTAATGAGATGAGGCACTGTATTTGGGAAGGGGGGTGGGGGGGGGGTGTATTGCTTTGCTGTAATTTGTTCATCTGATGTATTATTCAGGTTACTACATTTTCGTTTGATATTTACATGGACTTTGAGGGCCTTCTTAATGCTGAGAACTCCATACACTGACCTCACCTGTCTGTAAAAGTCCATAAAAATGTGTGCAAGTTGACTGAATGCAGCAGGGAATGACACGGATACGGATATTGAATATTGTTAATAAAAGAACATGACACACACTTCACTTCCTGCTTATGCATCAGTGAGTAAATTGAGTTAGAAATGACTGGGATGATTCTATTTTGATTCATCCCTCTGAATACTTTACACTCCGATCAGTTTAAGATTAAGGGCACACTGGGCCATAAACAGGATGTTGAGTGTGTGTTCCTGCTGTTCTGTCCACGGTGCTTCGTCACGCCTCATTAGTGTACTGGAATGCTAATTACTCGACTTGTTTGATGTACAGCCTTAAATTAAGGCAACAGCTCGAAGGGTATTTGTAGCCTTACACCATTAGATGCTTGTGATGCTCAGAAAGATTTTAATTTAATTAAAACTTTAATTGCTTTCATTTTAGCTAAAGTGTTACTCTACTAACAGTTTTCAGAAGCTAATATTTTATACTTATGTATTAAGTGTAACATAACTTATGCACTGATACAAGACTAGTGTTTTACGAGAAATCATCATCTGAAACTAAAAGTTGTCTAAATATTCAGATTGCATATTTTTTTTTAATTATACTAGTTTATACTTTATACTAAGAGGAATGCATTTTAAAGAAGAATATTTGGAAAATATCCATCCATCCATTTTCTGTATTGCTTATCCTACACAGGGTCACAGGGAGCCTGGCCCAGGGAACTTGGGGAACACCCTGGATGGGGTGCCAACCCATCACAGGGCACAATCACACACACACTCATTCACTACAGACAATTTAGAGATGCCAGTCAGCCTACAGCTCATGTCTTTGGACTGGGGGAGGAAACTGGTGAAGCACAGGGAGAACATGCAAACTCCTCACACACAGGGCAGAGGCGGGAATCGAACCCCCAACCCTGTTGGTTCAAGGCAACAATGCTAACTACTAGACCACCATACCCCCCCTATTTGGAAAGCAGTAACACTGAAATGCAGTAGGTCTCGCTGGCAAACTGAGTTGGCGACTGAGTTGGTTCAGAATCAGGTTGCGCACCTGCTTAAGCTGATTTTCTGAGTGCTTCATTCAGAATTACCTGTGTGTAGATTATGTCTATGAGGTTGCCAGATTTTTCTTGAGTAGAAGCATCTGAGATGGGGTTTTTTCAGTAGTGTCTAAAACTTCAAACACAAGCACTTGCCTTTAAGCCAGAAAAAATAAGGGATAGAAAATGCGGACTGAATAAGGAAGCATAGGTTTAGAGGGACTTTAAAGGAGCTTAAAGCTTGTCCCGAGCTCTGGGGTGCTGATTTGTCCATCCCTGCATATCAATCTTGTTCAAATAGTGTAGTGGAGCGAAAGTTTGATACGTTGATATACATTTACACTGTGTGCTTATGACAGAATGTTGATATTAATCATGCATAAGTTGTGTAAATAAGTTGTATATGAACATTTTTTCTAAGAGACTACATCTCAATAAGAGCTTTGGATTTAATACAGAACGAGCGAATATTGTTGTGGTTTTTTTTTTAGTGTTTGTGTTTGACCCAGACTTTTTCACCCACTTGTAGGAGCAACCCATAAACTATAGATAGTGTTTGTGTGCAACATTCTTACAACTTCAAATCATCATCGATGA